TTGATTAATTAATAGAGTTTAATATGAAGATCAATAGTATGTAAAAAAAAAAAAAAAATGTGGTTTAAAATTTAAATTTGTTTGATACGTATTTCATGATAAAAAATTTGTCAAAATTTTTATTAAAAATACTTATTTTAAAAATATATCAAAATTTATTAATTTTTTTTCAAATTTTACACATTTGACCTATATAACAAGATATTTTAATTTATCGATTTTGATTTTGATTTTTAATTTTTATTTAATCATTTTTAAGATCAAATTTCTTGAATTTCAACTAAAAAATTTCATCTAAATATTTCCATGTGTTCACTAGTTCTTTGGATAAATGAAAGTTTTAACTTATAAAAAAAAGTCATTTTTGAAATACTTATTAATTTTTGTAAATTTAAAATTTGTCTTATCATATTTTTTAAAATTATAAGCATATTAAATATTAATTAATTTGTGTATAGTGTATACGTGTGATTCTCATCATTTATATATCAAATTAAATCTAAATACATTATCTCAAATTTAATTTCCAAACATAACATAAAAAGAAAAAAATTAGAAAAAGAAAGAAATTAATGATGGAATTTTATTAAAAAAAAAGTCTAAAAAGCTTCATAATCATATTCAAGGCATGAAATAGAATTGTTTGGGGCATGACCAATTGACAAATTTATTTCATACAACATCAACCAATAATTAGTCTTTAAGGTAGCATTAGATTTTTTTTATAAGATTATCATGATAATATAATTATTAGGTTAATTTTATTACGAAAGTGATTTTAACACTCACAATTTGAAATCGTTTTGTTTGTTTAATAATGATTCATTCTTAGGAATTAAATATTATTGTATTTGATATTACCAAAAATCAAACATTATTTTATTTAAAAATATTAAAATAATCATACATATTATAATAATTACACAATTAATAATTTTATGATTGTTTAAAGGTAGACTTACTTATAGGTCGAGCAATCTACCTAAACTTGAAAGTTTGTTCGAAAATTTAAAGGGTTTACACATGACTATTAAATCCATTAAACAAACCTTAACAAAAAAATGAGAGCTGATAAAAAAATTGAACCATGCTTGAGTTTTACCATTTAAGGCTCGATCGATCTTTCCCAAAAATTCGAAATTTTTTTTTATCATAATGGGATAAAATCCACTTATTTTATTTTTTTATAATGAACAATACTTATTTGTTTTATTACTTATATATGATAAAGTCTATTTTTTCTTTACATAAAATAATGATCTAATTGTAAATTACATTCAATAAAATTAAATTGGATCCAAACCCAAATAACTTATAAATTTAATTAAAATTAATTAAATTAATAATTTACAAAAAAAAATTTCTCCAATTTTAAATATTGGTACTTTAAGCGGGTTTGAACTTTATTATTATATATAAAAATGGGTTTGGACAAAAAAAAAAACTCGAAAAATCAAGTAGAGCTAGGCTTGAGCTTGCTTAAAATGTTAAAATCTTAAGTAAGGTCTGATTTAAACAGGTTATTTAAAGATAATAATTTATAAAATATTAATAATATTTATTTTATAATGAAATAAAATAAAATTATTAAATTATTAAATATATTTATTGATAGATAAATTGATTTTTATAATATAAAGTATATAAAAAATATTTGAATTAGAAAATAAAATCAATCTATTAAATTCTTAATAAAAATAAAAATATTAAATTTATATAAAATATTTAAAAAGCTAAAAAAAATACCTAAATTATTTTTAACTTGTTATAATAAATATTAATTTGAAAATATAAAAACTTATAATATAAAATAATTTCAATTATAATATAAAATTTTATAATATAAAATATAAATATTAATTTTTAATTCACATATTAAACAAATAAAATTAATTATTATTAATTTTATATATCACTTTAAATTAATAATAAAATTTTTTATCATATTATATAAGAATGAAATCACTATTTAAATCAATAATATGATATTTTTTCCAAAATTGCCACCATATAAAAACATTAAATATTTATCAAATATAATAATTTAATTATTAAGTAAGATCACTGGTCCTTATAAAATGCAAATGAAACAATGACGCGCGCCCCAGTCGTGTTTCAGACTGAAAGGATTTTGACAACAAAAAACTTATATAGCCGCTTTTGACTCCTTTGTGAGCCCCTTTGCTAGTTTGCTTGGGTTTTTCATCGGCGCCGCTTGCCTTTTTACTCTTTCAACCAAGTACCCTCCTAAAACCCTTTGCGTCTCCTTCGACAGTCGATACTTTTCTCTCTCTCTCTCTCTTGTAGTTTTCATTGAATATGGCGAACAAAAGACAGAAATTAGCTCGCAAGCAATACAAAGAAGCGCATCCTGAGCCGACCCCAGAGCCAACCCCAGCAAAAGACCCAGACAAGAAGAAGAAGAAAAAGAGCAAGTTCAAGCGGAAAAAAGAAGAGCCCAAACAGCCTAAAGACCCCAATAATTTCAACAAAAAAGGGATTAGAAAACACCCACTTAGAATTCCTGGCATGAGGCCTGGTGAAAGTTGCTATATATGTAAAGCCAATGATCATATTGCCAAGCTTTGCCCTCAAAAAGCTCAATGGGAAAAGCATATGGTTAGATTTTATTTTGATTTCAACTATTTTTCTTTTTAATTTTGAGATTTATGAGTTTTTTTTTATTAAATTTCCTTTAATTTGCTGTTTTGTTGTTTGTCTTGTGATGTTTGCAGGTATGTTTGCTCTGTCGTCAACGTGGACACAGTCTGAAGAACTGCCCTGATGTTATGGATAAAAGGAAGTGTTATAACTGTGGAGAAACTGGGCATTCACTCGCGAAATGTCCTCAACCTCTTCAAGATGGTATTTTTCTCCTTTTCCTTTTATCACTTGGAATGCTCTACATTGCTTTATTCTCTCTAAACTTTATGATTATGATTACCTTTTTAAACCTTTGGTCTCATTCGGCGCTGAATCGTGCTGAATTTGGTCTCTTCGATGATATTAAGTGATTTAATTTATTGTTTCATGATATATGCAAATGCTTGTCTTCCAAATGAATTTGGTGGTTGTAGTTTTTAGCATAACATACTGTTTAGACTACGAAACTTAGGGTTGTGTTAGACTTCAAATGAATTTCTATTCTACGATAGGGTTGTGTTTATGTATGTTTTTATACAAATTCATATAAGATAAGAAAACTGGTTCAGATTTGCAATTATAATTTGTCTGTGTTTGAGCTTCACTTTATTCATTGCCATGAACAATGATTTTCTCTTTCATATTGCAGGGGGGACTAAGTTTGCCAAATGTTTTGTCTGCAAGGAAATTGGACATCTGAGCAAGAACTGCCCTAAAAATGCTCATGGAATCTATCCAAAGGTACATTTTGGGTAAATTATTTGTAGCCTTTTGATTTTGTAAGTGCACTGTCTCATGTATTATTGGGGAGCAGACAAATTGTTTATGAAGTGTATGTTCATTGGTAAATGTTTCAATCCATTGCAGCAATTTTTTTCTTCACTAATCTGAGACCTTGAATTTACATTTTATTTTGTTTTGTCTCTCTATAGGGTGGTTGTTGCAAAATATGTGGTGGTGTAACCCACTTGGCCAAAGATTGTCCTGACAAAGGCAAAAAGGCATCCGCTGCAGCAACCAGAGAAGGTGGCGCATGTAAGTTTTTATTCCAAAATTCAGGGTTTATCCCAACTCTTCGGCTGTTTGTTTAATATAATTTATATAATTGAATAACCAAGGTGTACTCCAACAAAACCCTGGGTTTCTTTTGATTTCTTTTGCAAGTGTTGTATCATTTACTGAGCTTCTCTAGTTACTCCATAGCCCAATATAAATACACGTGTCGGAGGATGAGAAATAACTGTAAGGTCTGATTTAATAAAAGCCACAAATATTTTGTTTGTAGTGATTTGAGAAAAAAAGAGGAAAAAGGCGTCTTTCAAAAGTTTCTCAATGTATTTGACGTTACTGGTCTTGTTATTCTTGTTAAGTAATGATAAGACATTAAAATGACAAGTAAGAAACAATCTGGTTAGGATAAGAATCTCAGTCCTTTGATCATGCTATGCCCTTTTCTATTATCTCATGTTTTAGGATTACTGGTAATGTTATAGAATGTGCTAAAGCAGAACTAGTTCCTTGCTTATGCTTTTTCATTAGCTCATACAGTGTAGCAAGAAACATGTTATGTGTGATACATATAATATAGGAGGGTGGTACCGTATACTTGTTGGTTGGTTATTGCAGGAATTGGAAGTATAGGTGCCTTAGAGATAATTTCAATGCAATGTTTACCGATTAAGAGTAACTTGAATTTCTTATTATCAAATATAAGACAAGATATTTGGCCAAAACTAAGATAAAAGAGCAGTTGTGATAATGCTTATATGATGTAAGTCTGCTATATTGATCTTGGCTGCTTTCAAAGAAAAAAAATTGGCTTCTATGTGAATAATATGACATAGATTCTAATAATTGGGATTAAGTAGTGTAGGTAGGATAATTGGTTAGATTTGACAGTGACCGTAGCGTCTGGAATTTAAAGTGAGAATAGTTGTAAAGCTATCCCCAGTTGCCAGTTATAATCTCTCAAGTTATTTAGTGATGAAAGTAAAATCCATGTTGGCAATCTAGATGACCTGCTAAGAATTCTTGTTATCTGATGGCATCATGTTCTTGCCCTTCCTGTGTGTGCAAGAATATGGTGTAGGGTTTTGCAAGTTACAATCTTAACTTTATCCTTTGTATCATTTCCTAATTTCAGCAACTGAAAGTGGAGAAAGGCCAACAGGGCAAGTGACAAAATTCATAAGTGGAGATGATCTTGAGGACGACTTCATGACACAGGACTTTGAGTCAACAGACCATGATGCTTCTGATGCAAAAGATGCTAAGATAAAATCAAAAAAGAAAAAAGGGCCTAAAGTGGTTAATTTTGAAGGATTAAAATTTTCTTCCCATGAATTTTGAGTAGTTTTCTTATCCGTGGTGACAAATGCTTGTTATATTTCAAGTAGCGCTGACAGATGATTGCTATATTTCACAAATGTTCTATGGTATTTTAAATATATTTGCTTCTTCATGGTTTTGATTTTGTATTACTACGTAGTAATTCTTGTGTTTTTTTTTTTTTTTTAATGTTTGGTCCTGTTCCAAATTATATTGGGAATTACCCATTCTCCCTTAACGTCATTCGAATGTACTTCATTTACTGCCTTGCAAGACATAGCATTCTTTTCAATTTTGCTCTTCATTTGATGATTGGGATAATTAATGACTCATTACCAAATACGAAACGTGATAATTATTTGTGACACCTATTTTTCTCCAACGTACGCAACTAATGCGAATTTTAGAGGTTTTGAATTGGTGGATCTGGATTCTGGAATCTTTTTTCTTTTTTTTGAATCTCAGTTTTACTAGTTTGTTTGATTCTTTAGCTGAAAAGAAATTGAGACATCCAAGAATGTTTCAATCCATATGCCGCAAGCTTGGCCTGATCTGCCAAGCCATTTGATGGGTGGGGAAGGTTGCGCCTTTGAGGGAATTTTGATGATGTCTTTCGTTGGTTGGTTACTTTAATGGTATTTGTTCACCTTAGAGTGTAAGGCCTAAGCTAACCCCACCCAGAAGATGTGAGGAAAAAACCTCCAATTTGTAAATGGCTGCATTGGGAGGACATTCAATTCAACCACCCTAATCTTCTTTTAGGTGTAGCAAACTCTGAAAATAGAAATCTAAGGAGATAGAGCTCTCTACCCAAAACCTAATCTTCTATCACGAAACCTGATAGGGGATAAAATATGGAAGGGAAGAAGAAAGTATTGCCCAAAAATCAAAATGATAAAAATAGGTAACGAAAAATTGGCCATGCAACCGGCAACGTGGTTTCCTGATAATCTACACAAACTGTTATTGTGGACATGATTAGCCCATAGAAGATTGGAGAGTTGTCTGCCCTTGTTTAGCCCTCAAATTTCTCTTCACCACCGCATTTGTATCGCCTCTCAATATCTCCCCTGAATTAAGGATCTCTTCCTATCCTACCCCATACTACATTTCTTTCTTCCTTCTTGCTCTTCATTTCTCACAAGACTTGTTTCCCTTTGAACAACAAAATGGTAAGGTCTCCTTTCCACTGTTTCTGATCTTTTGAAAAATCATATTATTTGGATTCTCCAATATCTGAAATACCATAGTTGTTTATTTTGATTTTCGTTCCATTATTCATTCATTAGGAAAATCCAATTAAGAGGCCATCTTCTTTTTCCAAGTTGAAATTTAGAAATTACAGATGCTGGGGCGAAATCTTTTATTGATTCATATATTTCTTGTTTTCTTTTCATATATACCGGAACTGATATTTTGGATTAGGCGAACGCGGTATCTGGAATGGCTGTGGATGATGAATGTAAGCTGAAATTCTTGGAGCTAAAAGCGAAGAGGAATTACCGTTTCATCATTTTCAAGATTCAGAACCAACAGGTGGTGGTAGACAAACTTGGCAGCCCTGAAGAAACCTACGATCATTTCACAGCATCTCTGCCTGCCGATGAGTGCCGTTATGCTGTCTTTGATTTTGATTTCACTACTTCTGAGAACTGCCAGAAAAGCAAAATTTTCTTCATTGCATGGTAACCTTATTTATTAATTTGCTCCCCCAAATTAATCCAACTCTACGCCATTTGTTAAACAAAGGTTGAAACACTCCCAAATTTTCATACAAGAAAATTTCAGGCCCGACCACCTATTTGAATGAATTTTTTGCTCTGTTTGAGTCATGGAAAACATGTAGAATAAAGGCACTTTAAAGGAGTAAAAATTGAAAAACAAAAAGCCACTTTTATGCTGTTATTTGAATATCCAGAAACAGTTTATATGACTTCGAATATAATTCATCCTACCTAGTAAAATGGGCTCCATTTCTTATCCTATCATTTAATCTTTTCCCTCATTTTCTTCCTAATTTCCCCTTTTTTTTATTCAAAATTTTCATAAACAAAACATAGTTTGTATGATAACTACTTTGATTCGACATCGGACAAAAAACTACTTCAATTGATGAAATGTAACGAGAAAATAATGTAAAAGAGCCCAATGTGAAATTGGTTGTTTTCATTTTTCAAGCCTAAAACAAGAAAAAGAATTTCTCTAATTTCTATTCATGGTTTTTGAAGGTCACCTGATACATCGAAGGTGAGAAGTAAGATGGTGTATGCCAGCTCAAAAGACAGATTCAAGAGGGAATTGGATGGGATTCAAGTTGAGTTGCAGGCAACAGATCCTAGTGAAATGAGCTTCGACATTATAAAAGGCCGGGCACTGTAAACGCTCTATTCTTGCGTTTTTCTTCTGCAAGCATTCCCTGTCCTAAGCATTTCAATTTGTGAGCATTGCTTATTTGTATTTTTAAGAAAATTTTCACTTTTTTCCGTGTGGGTTTTTTACAATTGACTGTGTAGTTTTAATGTACTAATATTACCCACACCTTTATGCTTAATAGTTTTTCAATCATTTGTGTTTCGACTTCGATATGTTGGTGTTGATAGTCAATTTTATATAGTAATTCTTTGAAATAAAGATCTCGAGTTGATAGTCGTGGTTTAAATTCTGTATATAGAAACGAAAATTTCTTTGCAAAAGCAAATTAATGTTGAATTTTCTAAAGATAATACTATAACACATATTGTACTAGTAGTTCAGTGAACTACTTGGTCCTTCCTGATTTGCTTATCCACCACCTAAGCCCACCTTCTGTAGTTAGCTTTATGAGTCAAAACCGACATAGTTGACGAGCCAATATAGAATTCGATGGTCTGGCCTACTAGTAATTTCTCGGCAACATGCATGGTGCAGTTTTCTGAGTATGGTGCAGTTTTCTGAGTTTCCCACTCTCTCTCTCTCTCTCTCTCTCTCTCACACACACACACACTTTATGTGCAAGGATTCATTATCAGTATCATATCGCAAATATGATTGATAAACTTTTCAATCCTATGCTCGTTGTGCTTACCTTGTGCATTCAAACCGCACTGTTCTGTTCATGCCAAAATTCAAGCTTCAGTTGCATCGAACGAGAAAGACAAACTCTTTTGAAGCTAAAGCAAAGTTTTCAAGATCCGTTCTGTCGCCTATCATCTTGGAAAGGCAACAACTGTTGCATATGGAAAGGAGTAAGCTGCGATGAAACCAATGGCCATATTGTCAAGCTTAATCTCAGAGCACCGTCACGGTTAATTAGCGACGACAGTATTTTCGGGTTAAATATAATTACTAAGAACAGTTTCTTAGTTCCTCCTGAGGTAAATTCTTGTTTGCCTGGGTTGAGATATTTGGAACACCTGGACTTGAGTGGAAATGATTTTCGATATAGAGCTATTCCGCAATTTTTCGGTTTGATGAAACAACTGAGATACCGTAATATCTCCAATGCTCGATTCAATGGAACTGTTCCTAATAATCTCGGAAATCTTACCAGTTTACGTGTTCTTGATCTTAGTAGCGAAGATCAAGGACCGTTGTGGGCCTTGAGGGCTGACGACGTGCAATGGATTTCTAACCTTACATCTTTGCAGCATCTCGGTATGGCAGGTATATACCTTGGTGAGGCAAGAAGCTTGTTTCAGGTATTAAACATGCTTCCTTCTTTGTTATCATTACATTTGTCTCAATGTGGGCCTGATAATTCACATTTGCCTTGGCATCCTATTAATTTTACATTTCATAGCATTCGGCATCTAGATCTTGGACAGAACAATTTTGCCGGTCCAGTACCTTTTATGCTTCAAAACATGACTTCTCTGAGAATCCTTGATCTTTGTGGTAACCTTCTTAATTCTTCAGTCCAGAACAGCTTTGGCAATTTTAAGAACCTTGTGCATCTCAATCTTGCGGCTAATGATTTTAGTAGCATTGAACAGGGGTTGTTATCGATCATGGGAAATATGTGCAGCTTAAAATCATTAGATTTGTCATATAACCAATTCCAGGGTGAGAAAATTGGAAATCATCGAAATTTATCTGGATGAGTTGGACGTGATCTGGAGACATTGAGTTTAGATTATGGCAGGATTAGTGGCCACATACCAGATTGGCTGGAGATGCTAAAAAAACCTAAAACACCTTCATCTTTCTACCAATCAATTGAATGGGACAAATCCAAAAAGTCTTGGGCAACTTTCCGACCTCGAGACTTTAGATCTTTCTCATAATTCATTGGGAGGTACCGTTCCAGAAAGTCTTGGGCAACTTTCCAACCTCGAGACTTAGGTCTTTCTCACAATTTAATGGAAGGTGCCATTTCTGAAGTCCACTTCGCTGCGGTGTCAAAGTTGAAAACGTTGTCTATTAGCTTCAGTGGTTTGAGTATCAAAATAAAATCAAATTGGGTCCCTTCTTTTCAATTGGAATACATTGGAATGAACTCTTGCAAATTTGGAACAGGGTTTCCTCAATGGGTTCAAACGCAATTGAAAGCAACATCACTAGTTCTTTCCAATACTAGCATCTCGGGTAACCTTCCAATATTGCCTTCCAACTTGAAGCACGTCAATCTCTCTAATAACTGGATCTCAGGGGCACTTCCCGAAAATATTGGTGATATCTTGCGTCAGTTGAGGATTTTGATTCTTTCTGACAACCTTATGAACGGTTCCATTCCAAACTCGCTTTGTCGTATTAAAACTCTGGTAGTTCTAGATCTTTCCAAAAATACCTTGTCTGGGAACGTTCCTGACTGTTGGAAAGATAATCATGACATAGAAGTTTTAGATCTATCATCTAACAAGCTCTCAGGTGTTATCCCCAGCTCTATTGGGCATCTTGATTCACAGAGATGGTTTATCTTGAGCAACAACAGTCTCAACGGCGAGCTACCATTGGCCTTAAAAAATTGCTCATCTCTTAGATTTTTGGATCTTGGTGAGAATACATTATCTGGAAATGTAGCTAAATGGATCGGGGAAAGTTTTTGCTCCCTAGAAGTTCTCAGGTTACGAGAAAATAAATTCAATGGTAGTATCCCTTTGCAACTCTGCCAACTCTCTTCTGATCTGCGAATTCTTGATCTTGCAGAAAACAATCTATAAGGGAGGATACCTCATTGCTTCGGCAACTTAACTGGCATGGTCCTTCCTCGGATGGATGTCATTAGTCTTAAAAGCTATAATTATAAACACTTGCTATGGTGGGATGTGGAGCACTTAACAGAGGTCATGAAAGGAAGATTCCTCGAATGCACATCAACATTGTCGTTTTTGGTAAATTTGGACCTCTCAAGTAATAAACTGGAGGGACAAATCCCTGAAGAGCTAACTTTCCTTACAGGGTTAATTGGTCTGAATTTGTCTCGTAACCAGTTGTCAGGGATGATGCCTGAGAAGATGGGGGAACTTGAGGTGCTGGAATCTCTCGACTTGTCATTAAATGAACTTTCTGGCTTGATTCCAAGTAGTTTGTCAACTCTAACTAAACTGAGTCACCTCAACTTGTCATACAACAACTTCTCAGGGCAGATTCCAAATGGCAATCAACTCCAAACTCTTGATGATCCATCCATTTATGCTGATAACCCCCTACTCTGTGGCACTTCACTATTAAAGAAATGCTTGGATGATGAGCCTCGTCAAGACAACAAAGACAATGGTAAAGACAACCCTGCTGAGGAGATGAGGTTTTATATTGTCATAATGTCTGGCTTTGCAACTGGATTCTGGGGAGTTGTTGGGGTTTAAATATTCAATAAAAGTCTGAGACATGCTTATTTCGTGTTCGTGGACAGGTCCAAAGATCGGGTGCTTGTGCTTGTAGCATTGAAGATGGCAAGTGTCAAAAACATGATCAAGGGAAACCGTACAGATGAGTGAAAATGAACTCAGGTACTAGCATCTATGAAAACAATTGCATTCAAGCTGCAAGAATTTGACTTTGCACTTGCAATCTAGTAGTTTTGCTTTTTGGTACTTTTAACTTAGTTCTATTTTGTGTTATGTATTGTGAATTTGTGAATTGTGATGGACTTCAATTTGATAAATGGAATTCAGTTTTTATTACTTTTTCTTAGCAACACTGATGCGCAAACATACTGCAGATGCGAAATGAGTTCCTCGGATCTCCAGAACTTTCTCCTTTTTCTAGTTTATTGAAGCACAGCCACAAATTTCATTATGTCGTACATAAAATTTGATGGTAACACCCCAAATATGTTAAATTATTGATACTGAAATACATTGTTTTATTAGTATTATTTTTCCTGTTAGTATTACTACAAAAGAAGGACCATAAGTGAAAATTAACCGAGCTTTGATGTAAGAATACAATCTGCTTCTGGTTCGTATAAGTATGAAAGAAATATTATTTCCTAATTGACTGCTTATTTTTGCTTTTCCCAAAATTTCTTCTCCAATTCCTCTACTTGATTTATTGAATTGTCCTTTTTACGAAGCAAGGCATAAAGGGATGCCGGATCATGAGGTGGAGGCAAGGTGCATGGGCTTGTAAGTGAGGGACCCTTCACCACTGATTCTATCATGAACTCCTTTATTAGTCCAACGGCCGGACAAGCCATTGTTTCCGGACAGAATTCAACAGCTTTTCTAGGTATGGTGGGCTTAAATCTCAAGAGTTTAGCATACTCATTTAAGAGATGAAACATATAATCATACACGTAGTCCATCTTCAACTCCTTTTTAATAAACTCACTTGCTGCCTTGCCCATGGCCTGTGCCTGATGAAACAAATGAAAATAATGGAATGAGAAAAACATTTAGAAATTATTAAGTAATTCAATAACAATTCAGATCATTTTCACAATTTTCCATTGAAGAATTTCAAGTTGTAATATTGCATTTTTTATGTAATGTAACAATTATGCAACTTGAACCCTGCCACAGCTCTCAGATTAGTGAGCAAAAACTTCCCATTTTGTAATCCTGATGGCAGAGCAGAATAAGTTGCTTTTATTGATCCTATATATAATGCCCTTGGCTACAATTAAACAAGATTGTTACCTCTTCCTGGTGGGAGTTGCCCCAGTCAACAGCATATTTAATAGATCTGCACTTATCATCAGCCTTAATGGACCAATAATGATGCATTGGCTCCAAACTTCTGGTGAAAAAATCATAATAGCGGGGTTTTACTAGTAAGGTAACAGAATCACAAGCAAGAATGTACTTTTCACTGACAGACCATGCCGATCCTTCGACGTAGATCTTAAACCTGCAAAAATTATGCATTCAGAAAAGAAAATGGACATGAATTTATAGCAGAATAAGTATAAAATAAGTAATTCAAATTTATGGAAAAAATAATTAATTAAATAAAAAGTAAAAAACTTGATCTTTAACCTGTGTTCACATTGGTTTGCCAGGTTTGATTGCTTGTACCCTTGCTGTGATTCTTGTCCCCAATCCTGCAAATAGTTTCCTAGTATTAGAATAACTGCTAACTTTCTTACCATAAATGAGAGGAAATTAAAATAATTAATAGTATACATATGGTGGAAATAATGAATATTCCAATGAAAATAAAGTGAAACATAGATATAATGATGACCTGGGCATAGACACGAGCACCCCAATCCTGTTTGTCTGAAACGTTGCATTTTAGGAGGTCTTGCCTGGTTTCGGCAACATTGGGATTCCCTTTCCAGTAAGCATAAGGTTCCCTTTCGTCCCATCCCTTTCTTTTGTTGCCTTCCATTAGCTCATTTAACAACAGCACCCACGGCTTTATGTTAATCTCAGGCCTGATAATCATTACGTAATGGATTATGTAAAAACATTTTTCACCAATTACATCAAAAACTTAGCTTTTCACCTAAAACAACAAAGAACGGCAAACCTGTTTTTTATATAAACAAAACAAAATTACTACAAGGAAAAGGAAAGTGAGAAAAAGGGTCTAACCATCCCCAGAAGGACCAGTCCGGGAAAAGGACATCCAGTGTTTCATTATCCTTGCAGTAACGAAACAAGGGAGGTGGGGTGTTGGCATTGGGCCCACCATAGTCGCTTGATTTGATGACCGGCCAATCAACACAATCAAACATGAGATCCAAATCGGGCAGTTTTCCTGGATACTTCCTTAATAACTGTAGGATCCCCCAGAGTGTAAAAACATCCCTTGTCTGGAACGCTTTATGATACGTCTCCACATAGGCCCTCCCGTTTACTACAACCAATCTGAAATTAGCCGTTTTCTTGGCTCTCTTCACCATGTCAAGTGTGATCCCCGTGTAGGCCCATGGCCTTAGATCTTCATGGATCCAACGGAAGTAATCTGGACAAGTATTTAAATTACTGTCGGGATCTACCTCCGAAGTTGTCGGGTAGTTTGTGGGGCAGGATCGTGTGAGCTCAAGTGCACTGCAGTTAAGTGGGATTTCTACTTGCTTTCGAGGCTTTGTGTGGTCTTCACCTCCAGATCTTGTACTTGTTATGGGCTTCTGAACCAACCCACCAACAAAAGTCTGCAGGCCCACCGCGCCCAATTTAAAAAAATTAAGTGAGTAGTGACCACCAATAATCCCCACCACCACTACGACTCTACTTGAAAGAATGTACAATTTGAATTTAATTCTTTAAATATAAACTGCGAGCTAAGTAATAAATTTAATTATCATCAATAGTAAAATTCAATTCCACTTTAATTAATAATATAATGTTGAAGAGAGGGACCAAGATTTCAGTATTTCCGATAGTTTTGTTCTAAACCAACACTGGCCAAAACTTTTGGACATTGCAATCCATAAACCCAAAACATTTGCCATGACTCACTTGCAGTCTAACAATGATATTCTAATTCCAGAGATCATTGACATCTTAGCTCTAACATATTTAAGAGAATTGACATCATATAATTTCAGAAGATTTTTAGCAAACATATTTTATATGTAAATTGTGAACTAACTGAACTTCATCTAGCAATTGAAATTATGCTTTTCATGAGTAGTCACGTGTAAATGAATAAATAAAGGATAATGTTACATGCATTCATCTCATATGTTTATTTTACACTTTTTTTTTTATTTTAAAAATTTATGTAAAAAGTATTCAAATTAATTTTATGAGCTATAATAAACTTTTAAAAACTTATATATTATGTGAGTGTATGAAATAATTATTTCAGATGAATGTATATAATTTTTTCATAAATAAACATATACATTAACGTTACATTTTTTTATTAAAATAGTAACATTTTCATATAAAAAGCTTCACCAGCATACTGTACTCTTAATCGTTGAATCCGAACTATTTATTCCTCTGTCTTTCATCCTTTCGTGTTATTAAATACAGTGTAAGTTTAGATTTAACAGTACATGATTAATGCTAAACCACAAAAACATGCTTTTGTCTTTTCTTTTTCTCTCCAGATTTATATGGCTAAAATATTTAAGCAAAGTATTGGAAAAATAATCACTTGGCATCATGTAAATGGGCAGGCAGAAATTTCAAATTTAGGTTTGGGGAAGAGGAGAGGTAAACAAGTCATACGAAAGTAGGACACCAACAAAATAGAAAGGGTCCCATACTGCACATGAAAGTAATCAACACCATAACACGCGTCCCAAATAAATTAGGCAATGAATCCTCTCCCTGTCTCCATGGAAGTTTTTAACCGACACCTAAGCCGCTCCTTGTGCCTTCAAATCTTTCTTCTCAAATCTCAATTAATTTTTTCTGCTTCAATCACGGCTTTTGCAAATACATCTATTGCCTACTTTTTAATTATTTTAATTACGCAACTAGACTCTAGCTATAGTTAAAGCCACGTCGCTTTGACTGAGTTTGCTTCCATATGAGAAAAATGAGGTTTTCGGTGAAATAAACTTCGGTTTTTTTTTTTTTTAATGCTCGGATAGAGGGGTCAATTTTATGCCAGACAAGGTAGGAAAGTTTCATGGTCATAATAATAATAATATTAAACAAAAATTTAGTACTTTACTTACAGTGGTGTCAAGCAAACGCGTGGAGACCAACGCGCCGACGAGTAAGACGACGAAGACGATTAGTATAGCTGAGGATCTAGCTGATGTTTTAACGAAAGGCCGCCAGATGGTTTCCGTGAATTGACTGAACAGACGGATCGGTCCCTTCCCCTGTTGCAGGTTGTTTTCCCTCGTGTGGATATTCATCTCTAACTTATATCTCCCGCCCTTGCGAGACTCCGAGTGGTTAGCTGGCTTTGTCTAGTCTCTTAGAAGACCGACGGTGACCGCAATTCCGAAGATTTCATCAAAAGGGGTAGCTCAGTTTTGGAGCAGGGGAGAAAAGTCCACGAACCTGGAAGGTGTTTCCCGGGGGTTTTTTCAGCTCTGTTGTACTTGGAGAAATAAGGGAGAACAGATCAGAACTGATATAAGCGAGTTCAGCAAAAGAGTGATTAAAAAAGGTTAATGTTTGGGGAGTAGTAAAGTACTTGGATAAAAGAAAATGAGGAAAGGAATGAAGAAAAGAGGAGAAAAGATACTGATACTTAATAATGTTACCAAAAGCCGAAAAGGTAGGTAACGAGGAAAGGAAAAGATCTAAAGAAAGGATTTTGATTGGAAGATAGAAAGTCAGAGGAAGAGAGATATAAAACAAGAATAAAAGGACTTACTGGCTTACAGCCAGAGGAAAGGTTGGGACAAAAATCTCGTGAGAAATCAGCAGCTACCTCTTTCTTTTTTAGATTTCTTAAGGCCAGTATTCAGAAACGTGGTGTAGGAATAAACGACCAAAAGGTATTTTTCATTTATTTTGCAAGCAGGGAAATGGCAGTAAAGTGAAATAGAAGGAACCAAAGTAAAAGCCCACAGTATGGCAGCAGCGCACTGCCTCCTTTTAGCAGTTTCTAACGGTAATTCGTCACATGTACATTTCCTTTGGTCCTTTCTGCCTAATTTTTGACATTTATATTTTTCTGACTTTTCCATTTGCCTTTAATTTCAAACATAGATAAAACAAGTCTAAAAATAACATTAATTATTCACTAAAAATATGTACACCAAGTGGGGAAAAATAAGTGAAAACAATATTTTGGGAGAAAGGAAAATGAGTAATTTTTTAAGATAAAATAGATTTCCTTTTTATAAAATAGGTAATTTTTTAATGATTTTATAACAAAATTGAAAGACATGAATGCTCTATCTTATTTCTCTGTTATTATGATTGGATATCACTTCACTCCTTATACTAAACTCAATTAAATATTTTATATAATATGAATACTTAAATTATCAATTTTTTTAATATTTAATGACAAACCTAATAGGTTGTATGAGTAAATAAAAATTTCAAGATTACATAATTAAATAAACTAATCAAATCTCATATTAGGTAACTAAATTTATAAAAATGAAATTCGGGTTTTTTTAAGAGGGTACAAGGTATTTAGAAACAATTTGTTAATAATTAGAAAAAAAATTATTTAATTTGACCAGCCAGATAAATTGCAGTAATTTTCTGAATTAATAAATGCTAGACTAATCTACAATCAACTTCCAAATCTCAGTCAATTTATTCATGATAGCCCAAAAGACAAGCACAAATACGAAGGATTAGAAATTCAGAAGTTAATCTTGTTTGTTTTCCATTACAAGATGGTGCTTGTAATTATCAACCGTTCCAACACTGACAGTGATTTATAATTTTAATTGGCACGCCTAAGAAAGTGGAAGCAACAGCCAGCAGGAGCAAAGAGATCTTAAAAAAGAAAAAAAAAACGAAAAAAAAACGAAAAATCAACATAAAACTGATCAAGTTCAGCCTAGAGATTAGATCTGATTAAAGGTTAGGTTATTTGTTTAAATCTGAAAGTTTGTCTAAATTTTTTAAAGATTTGAATAAAAAATTAAAATTCATTAAAAGGATTTGGATATAATTTTTAAATTCATTTAAATTTTAGGTGAGACCTTAAACAAAAAATTTTAAATTCAAATCTAATTCAAATTTACATATATATAAATTTTTTATTTTTATATATTATAAATTATATATAAATTAAAAAATATATATTTATTAAACTTAATTTTTATTTTTAATTTATATATATATGTAAATTTAATATAATTCCATTAAATTAAATTAAATTATATTTTTAAAATTTTTATTATATGAATTAAATTTAATGAGAAGACTTAGAATTTATTATTTTAATTTGGATCAATTTAAAAAAAAATTGAAATTTGGAATTTTAAATTAAACCTAAATAAATATATAAACTTGATTTTAAATCTGATCTAAATTCAATCTGACTGAACACTTCTGCTAAATATCCTCTTGTGAACATTACCCGATCTCCTTGAGGGACATTGAGAGTTATTTATGGGCTCAAGTCTGAGTCTCGTTTTTATGAGTTTTTGTCTGGTTCCAGACCAAGTCTGCTTATGATTCATATTTTACATCCTCATGTGCGGCCCATAATCAAGTCTGTGTGGTACCCAAATTCTTTAAATAGGTAGGGACAGTAAACAAAGCAAGAATTAACATAGTTGTGGGTCCCTGTCTCCTTGAGCAACCCAAAGTTATGGGCCTCAGATTGTTTACATGATCCACACTGGGTTTGACTTTTTATTTTAACTTATGCCGGTAACTAGCTGTCAGATTTTAGATATTTAGTTGAAATTATTTAACAGAAACTTGGGATTGAATTGGTAGCTTTTTGTCAGGGATAATCATTAGTTTGGGTTTGTGGTGTTAACGAAATTTTGGGAGAAAGGTAGAAACTTGTAAAAGGATTTTCTGTTCTATTCTGGAATATTTTTGTACCATGAGTTGCATGTCACAATGTCATTAAGCACTAAGATTGCATGCTACAAAAAGTGACTCGAACCTTGGTTTGCACGTTTAAGTTTTAGTAATCACATACAAAACAGAAAAGAGAGCTAAATACAATTTTGTTTTTATTTTTCATACCTTTTTTTAAATTTATTTTTAAGTAAACTTATTTAATTATCTTATACATTTTTAGATATTTATATTCTATAAGTTGTAAAATTTAACGAATATAAAAATTTGATAAATTATATAATTTTTCATAAGTTAATTTTTAAAACTTTAAAAAAATTACAAAAAAATTTATTAGAAATTTTTATTAATTAATGTAATAAAAAAGTTATTAATGAAAAGAAAATCATAAGTTTTAAATTTAATAAAAAGATTGTTAATTTTATTATTTTGATAATAGAGAACGAATAAAATCTTATAAGATCTTAATTAAACTAAGGATAAAATAGTAAATGTAATTTTTTATAAATTTAAAATTCATTATTTCTTTTTTAATAAAATTTTTTTGTATTGATTATTAAAATTTTATAATAATCCTAACTAAATTGAATTTTTTGAAGAAATATCTCAATCTATTTATCAGAATGAGTTTTTTTGGCTAACATATTAAATTTTAACAAAATTATATAATATTTAGTAGTATTACTTATACAATTTCTATTAATTTCATCTCTCAGAAGTTAATCAAACTTGGTATGTGGTTCCTTTATCATTTTTCATAATATCAAGAAATGAAATATTTAATTAAGATCTCATAAAATTTTATTTTTTTCTAAAAGATTAAAATAATAAAATCAACTTCTTTTTTATTATTTTAAAATTTATTATTTTCTTTCCAATAATAATTTTTTCATTACATTAATTAATAAAAACTTTTAATAAATTTTCTTTTTTTAATTTTCCTTAAAAATTTACTTACTTTCCTATAATAAATATCCAATTAGCTTTATAATTTATTAGATATTTATTTTTGAAATTTTATATAATTTGCTGAATATGAATCTTTGAAATTTATAAAAGAATGATTAAGTAATTTTAATAATTAAAAATTTAAAAATAAAAAAAAAAAAAAGTTAAGAGCAAAAACATATGTATGTAGAAGGTCCCAACAAAGATGATCATAGGTTTTTGAATTACAATTAATGGTGTTTTTGTGTATTCAAGTGTGATCGATTAGATTATGAGCACGAAAGCCTTTTTTTCTTTTCCCTCGAAAACATCATAACTATGATCATTATGCTTCCAAACAATCGTAAAAAGTTATACCATAAAATTTCCTTTATTCACTTTTGAAGAGACAGGGCACAGGAGAGACATCTTTCTCTATGTCAACCTCTGATATTTTGCAGCTTTCTAAGAGAATATATATCATTGGATGTTTTCTGCCCCATGAGGGAGTGTTAGCCTGAGCGATTTCATATACAACAGGTGTGTTCATTAATATCTCTACCATCAAAAACTTGGATATATGATCCAATGGTCACAAATAGCATCTGCTTTGTATTGTAAGGCCAAATGTGACCTATCTGTAGAAAAATCATAAATAAAGAGACATTTAGCATGGGATAGGAACAGAGGTGCATTTCGACTGCTAGTCCAAAACCCTTTTTTTTGTTGTTACCAAAGCAGATTCAGTCCTCAACTTTGAGCATTACCCTTTTGCAGCGTCAAAGCTGATTCAGTAAAGCCGACTTGGTTTTTCTGTTTCTGCTTTTGTGACTTTGTGAGCACTGTAAACAAAGTCGTAGACCTCAACACAATAGGAGCTAAGCAGAAAAAACTACTCTCCTTTGGAGCGCGTCTCAAAATTTTAAACTTGGGATTTCACACTTTAAGCAAAATTATCATAAATTATTAGAATAGATAATCATTCGAGGAAACAATAGACAGTGGAAGAATTTTTAAGAAAACAATTTGCAGTAACATAACTTTGAAATTTAAACGAAAATGCGGTTAAGTTATCGAGTGCACGGGTCCTATGTAAATGGGGGGCATCATATTTGTTTTTGCCCTTGATTTAAGAGTGCCCTTAATCATTTCATAGGGAGCGTGGCGTTTTACATTGGCATTGGCATTGAGAGAAAGGGAGAGAGAAAGAAAGTCACGCTTTCTCAATCCCACGCGTGAACCTTCTCTCATGCATGCCCTGAATTTTCGAAACCCAAGGTTCCTTCCTCAGAGACCTTAAAACCCCAGACTCAGCTCCCTGCTTGCTTGCTGGAACTTGCAAACGTAGAGCTCTTGTTTTTATCTTTCACAATTTTGCCATCTCTCATCTTGAAAGCTTATACAACTATGTCTGCAGTGAGTTTACTCTGTCTCTTATCTATCTCTCTGACAAGCACACACAAAGCTACAAACTAGAAATTAATATAAATGTAGAAATAAGATTCTGATAATGTGGAGGTATATGGCAGATGCTGGAGGTCAGAGTTCCAAACTTGGATTGTGAGGGCTGTGCTTCCAAGTTAAAGAAAGCTCTCTTGAAGCTCAAAGGTACATCTTACATTTTATCAAATCAAAGGTACTTTTATTAGGTCCTACTGTTTTAAATAAGTTGCAGACTTAATGTCTCTGGCAAAGGGAGAGAGGAAAAAAAAAAAAGGAGCGGGACTAGCAATGCCATGTCTATTAGCTTATGTGTAATTGTCTATCCATTTATTTTGGCCTTCTTTTATCTCTTTATTAATTCTAGCTAGCTATGCAGTCAATGGAACTCTGTAAATTTTATAAACAAGTGCATAACTAACATTGCTTCTATGTTCATGGTGCTCAGGAAAAAAAAGCTTAACGAACTAGTACGAGCTTAGATACTTGAGCAGCGGCAAGTTCTAGCTTTTTTAGTATCTTAGTTCTCCTCCTTTTGGACTCCTCTCTTAAAAAAATGGGCCAGATCTGGCAAGAAGGGAACAATGGGCTTGCTCCAATTGCATGAGTCTCTCTTTTAATACATAGAATATGAGATTTGTACCCAAAATATTCGGATAACCCAACCAGGAATTGCTCCGTGTTATGCTCTTGCTTCTATTGACGGTTGGCTTCATGTGTATCTTTTAGGGGTTGAAGAAGTGGAGGTAGAAATGGAGATCCAAAAAATAACAGTCCGAGGCTATGCCCTGGAGGAAAAGAAGGTGCTCAAAGCTATTAAACGAGCAGGGAAAGCAGCAGAGCCATGGCCATTTCCTGGATACTCCCACTACGCCTCATTTTACAAGTATCCAACCTATATAGTGAACCATTACTATGACTGTCATAGAAGTGAAGCTTCCAATGGTGTTCACACTTTCTTCCACACCCCAGCTGTCTACTCAGTTGCGGTGGCATCCGATGAGGCCGTTGCTTCACTTTTCAGTGACGATAATCCAAATGCCTGCTCTATCATGTGAACATATATAGGCAACCTTTTATTTTATTTTTTGCTTTCTTTCAAATTTTTATCTGGAAAGACTTGTGCTAAATTCAATTTTGTTTGAGTTCTGTTTGCCGATGAGTGTTGGCCAAAAAAACGATTTAGAACATGAAATTCAGGTAGTATTTTGTCGTATTATCGCTTTTAATTTCACCCTAAAACTCAAAATTAAAAGGATTTCTGTAGTAACTGCTCTAATTTGAAGCCTCGTTCAAATATAATGTAGTAGAAAGGTGGCAATTGGATGAATAATGAGTACAACACTTGTAACTTTGGTTATTAAGTCATTAGCTTTTCAACTATAACTCATATGGGAATACTTCAACGTTTTTTAGGGCTTTACCAATAACTTTTACTCATTCTGGATTAAGACGATGGTGGGTTGTGCATGGAGAGAATAGGGCTGACCTGTAAGTGGAGATATTCAAAAACCATCGCCACTTTAATTAATTGTTGGTACTTTTGAGGTGACCAATGTCTTCGGTTGCTTATCTGTTGAATGGTGAGAATCTTGAAAAGCACAACATCAAAAGCCGCCCCTTTGCTAAGGATGACCTGCCCAACTTGTCCACAACTCAACTTTTGCACCCAAAAAAAAAAAAAAAAAACAAAAAGAAATCAAAAGAAAAAGAAAAAGGAGAATGAAAAATAGACAATGCGATCCAATTTGTGGACCGTCTAATGTACGTACTTCATATCAAATATCGATTTTGTTTTGATGTTTTTCAATGAAGAAAGTAATTTCGAAATTAATTGAATCTAAATATTTCATAATAAGTAATTAATGATATATAAATTTATTTAATTAATGAGTTTTTTTTTTTTGTTTTTGAAATTTGAATTTAAATTTTATTCTTTTATGTTATTCAATAAAAATAATTAAATAATGAAGTTAAATAACAAACAAATATTTTTTATAAAATTGTTTTAATTACTTCTGTTCTAAATTATTTGAATGTTATTAATTTTTATAAAATTTTAAAAAATTTTATTTTAATGTATTTAATATTAAATTTTATTTTTTATAAAATTAAAATTTTATGATTTTTAATATCAAAAAAATATAAAAATTATAAAAAACAATATTAAATATAAAAATAATTTTAGACATTAAAAAAAGAAATAAAATAATTCTAAGACATCCAAAAATTTATATAAAAAAATCGAAAGGATGGAGTATATTGCATAGATTTTTCATTGTCAACACTATTATTTCTATGAAATTACATGTATATATATATATATATATTTAAGTACAATGAACTTTAATTTCTTTTGGAAACAGATAAAGACTTGGAACTTTGGGTTGAGGGGGATGAATTTGGCGCCTGTCTGATTTTCAATGGGTGTAAAAAGAAGAAAAAAAATGACAATCAAGTGGCTTAAAATACTCCATCAAGCCAACGTGTGTTTTGTAAATCGGCAGAAATTGACCATGTGGCCGGACAGAAACGGTTCATAATAACCATCCACTTGAAGCCTGAAGGATGTGACTAGTCATACATAAAAGGCTCTCATAGACAGACTCGGGACCTCCTAAAATTTCACTCTTTATAAAGACCGACTGGTCCTCAATAATTCATTCAATTTTCCTATCTGCTCGAACCTCACATTATTTCTCATACCAAAATGGCTCAGGTAATTTTTTCTTTGTTCTGTATGATTCTACCAGTACTATTTATTTTCATGTTGATGGTCTTTTTTTTTTTTTTCCTTTTATCTGTGTCTCATGTTTACTGTTCTAGCAGAAGGTGGTCCTGAAAGTGCTAACCATGACTGATGACAAGACCAAGCAAAAAGCCATAGAAGCTGCTGCAGATATCTTTGGTATGGTATTTTATCATAAAATTTTCTTACATGATAAAGCTTTGTCAGCTTAATCTTTATCAAAAATCAGATCTTGATTGTCTTTTAAGTCTCATGAGTAACGGGGTGTTGTTCTGAACTTCTTTTAGTCTAATAATTTGGATCTCTGCTCACCCCTTTATGCATGCTATCACGAATCAGATCAATTAGACAAATTTTATTATTTTTCTCCTTTTTCTGGCAAGTTTGTTTATGTGAAAATTATGGGCGACAGGGGTTGATTCAATCGCGGCGGATCTAAAGGATCAGAAGCTGACAGTGATAGGACAGATGGATGCAGTGGCAGTGGTGAAGAAGTTGAAGAAAGTAGGCAAAGTGGACATAGTATCAGTTGGACCTGCCAAAGAAGAGAAGAAAGAAGAAAAGAAAGAGGAAAAGAAGGAAGAGAAAAAAGAGGAGAAGAAGGAAGAGAAGAAAGAGGAAAAGAAAGAAGAAAATAAGGAAGAGAAAAAATAATAATTATAAAAAAAAACCCTTCATCTAAACAAATCATGCTTGGTTCTCCTTGTATGTGTGTTGTAGAAATAAGCTTTTGAGAATTGCAGGGGTAGAATTTCTTGAAGTCCCTGTCTGAAAAATAAGTTAATTCAAGCACAATTACTGAGCAATGTGAAAGGGGTTTTGATTTAGGATAGTCGGCATCATAGCAGAGTATAATTAGACGGTTGATTGATAGATGAGATAATGTAATCTTTAGCTTCTAATCAAAATTAATCTATGCAGATGAAGTGTCAGAGATTCACCGGTTGTCTTATTCAACAAATTCAAGTCACAAAGAAGTTTGAACGTTCACGGAGCTTCCTTCCTCCCTTATTAGTTCGATGGTCATTTTCCATTGATGAAAAAGGGCCATCGCAATCCAAATAAGGCAACACGTTCTTCTCGAGAAAGGAATTAAAAAAAGAGTGTGGTTAGTCAATTGCATCATTCTCCTAGTCCCTGCAGTCTATTCATAAAGCAAAGCTTCGGTGAGCCTCGATCATGAGGATTCAGATGAAAGTTTTTTGATGCAGGCTATTACTATATAGTTGATAGGCAGTAGGTGGCAGCGCCATTTGAATTGGATTAATGTAAAACTAGATATAAAATTAAACGTGAATTTAACGAGATAAAGCAGTAGATGAGTATAATTATATATTTTTTTCCCTTTCGTCTTGTTAGTCTTTCAGGGTTGTATACAAAGGTTCACTTATGTCTCTACTTTAACATACAAAATATGTCGAGATTGCTTAGCTGTGTTGTGTATGCCTGCAATGTTGCACCTATACTTAAATGAGTGATGAACCTGGTTTCCAAACCATAACCCAGCTGAGTTTTGAATACTAGAGGAAGAAGCATTCTGCTTAATATCATGTTCCCAATCCTGTCGAGTAACATGTCAACCTCCATAAGAAACAATGATATGCCTTGGCTACAGGAGAAGTTGCATTGAAAATCAAAACTTAACTTACAATTTTAGCATGAACACGTTATGTTATTGTTGTCACTCTCAAGCCTCAGCAGGATGAAAAAGAATAAAAAACGAAGCTAACACAAGACCAAGATATAAAAGACCATTCCTTGTAAAAGCTAGCAATTTGAACCTTTGCAGGTTTCTTGTAAAAGCTTACCAAGTCCCTGGAAGTGAACTACAAGGAGGGATCTACTATCTTCTTCGCTAATTCAGGGCTTGGAACTAAAGGAGGATAGAGCAGCGAACTTGAGGACAGCCAAATATCGGGATATAGATGCTTGCAGAAAGGCATCAAGCGCTTATATGTTGTCTAAGGAAAGGGAAACAAAGTTAAAAAGTAGTTAAACTGTAGTGGAAGCCTTAAAGTCCTCATCTGTGTTCAACCTAGCCAATGCCATTCTATCTTCTGTAAGGTCATCTAAGATTTTCATCTTGTACGTAGCATTAAATCTGACACAAGCAAAGCTGGAATTCAGCAAGAATGTCACCAAGGACAGCAACCTTTTAAGCCTAGAGATATTGCAAACGTTACAAATGGAATGAAAAAACAGACAGGCTGCCTTTGAGCTGATAAGAAATCACGGTGAATCAGAGATGTAATTATAGGAACAGCATAGGCTAAAATTCTTCAGTGATGCATGGAATATTTTACACCTGCACGACAGGAAAATAGAATAGCAAAATCATCAGTTTATCCCCCTCTTTCCAGTGCCAATGGAAACAACATTCTATTTATTCTCTAAGAAAATCATCCTTTCTTTCAGTCTTTAGATAATTTCAGGGAAATTTTAAGAGACCAAGACTGAACAAAATGATACTTAAAACATAATGTAAGTGTCTACATTTAACTCGGATGCGGCACTTCACAAGGGAAGGTCAAATAAAAGAAAAGTGGAAACATTTAGGTATATCTTCTGAAAATGCCAGCCCAAAGAAGAGGAAGCCATAATTTACAAAAAAAAGTAACTGTACTGCATTAGTGTTCATTGAAAGAAATCGAATCTTACAATTCATGAATCATAAGTCACATCAATCAGTAGGAAGTTGAAGGTCTCAAGAATAGTAAACTGAACCTCTTTAATTCGTCAGAGACATCAGCATCACTGTCACTGCAACTCTCCGAGGAAAGTCAACCTCCACCATGATACCATCATTATCACCTTATTGTGACCACTTTCGGATGACGCTTGAGAAGACAAAATGCGGCTTTTCTCATGTTAGGAAGACCTTTTAAGGGAAAGAGAGTACGTCCGTCTTTCTTCAATGCCTAAGCTAGCACAAGGGTATAACAGTTGTAAAAGGACTATGTTCACCATTAATTTTTAATATACCTTATGTTGGCAGCATCTAGGATAGTTTTACTTTCTAGTGAGAAGTACATGACTGAAATTTTCAACTCTCAATCCAGATCCTAGATGCCAAAAATTTCCAGTCCAGTCAATTACATTGACTAACAAGTCAACTTCGTACCTTAAATTATTCATTCCATAAGAGACTTTTAAGAAAATTTGATTGCACATTGAAGCCAGCTGAACAGAAGGGAACAAGTTAATATCATTGATTAAGAGGGGAAAATTTGGCTATCAAAGAATTAATTTGGCTATCTATCGAGTTTCATTGTTTCAACCAAATTGAATATTAAAACATGTGAAGGGAAAGAAGAATGCGCATACTTTATCCTGTCTACTTCCTTGATATCTATTAGAGGCAGCAGGCAAGTGACGCTGACATAGCTGAACCATTGAATATGCTGGCAAATAAGTTACAACAAACAATCTTTATATTGTACAATCTACTTTCTAGCATCTCCTAAATCTCTTGATCTTTGAGAGCAGATGAACATATTGCCCCTTCTCCTCCAGGTTTCTTATTATTGCACGAGCTTCAGAAAGCCTTCCAGCACTTTGCAAATGACTCACTAGGGTACTGTACACAACAAAATTTGGGTTACATCCTCTAGCTTCCATTTCCTTAAGTATGGAGCAAGCCTCCTCAAACCTTCCTGCCATACAATAACCACGAATCATTGAATTGTAGGTAAATACATTCGGAAGTTGTCCATTGGCAACCATCCCATCAAACATTTCTTGAGCTTTCTCAAGCTCCCCAGCCACAATAAATCCTGTAATGATTACAGTGTAGCAAACCACATCTGGCATGCATCCATTCTTTATCATTTCGTCGAAAAAGTACTTGCAAGCATCCAAGTTTCCAGCACGACTCAGGCCATCTATCAATGTTGTGAAATGAAGAACATCCGGGTTTAATCCCACTTCTTTCATGTGATTCAATAGATTAAGTGCTGCAAGTGGTTTATCCCCTTTGCCAAGAACATGCAGAAGGATGTTATATGTATGGAAATCAGGGGAAAATCCACATCTACCCATTTCATCAAGTAATCTGTGAAATTGATCTAACTTCCCCAATCTGTATTTTGAATACATAAGTATATTATAAGTTAGAATATCTGGGGCAAAACCCTCGGCTAACATCTGGTGGTACACCCACTCAATTAGTTTGTATTGGTTAACAGCAAGAAGTGCATGGAGAATGGCATTGTATGAATGCTTAAATGGCCGATAATTGAATGTTTTTGACTTGATGAATCTCTCCACAACGTTCCTAGCCAAGCCTGCCTCTCCACATGTGCATATCAAAATGTTAAATGTCCTTGCTGTTGTAGGGAAACCATTCTCTATCATCTCATCTACTAGTCTCCACATTGTCTTGTATTCCTCACACTCTGCACATATCTTCATTATCAAATGATATGAGTTTGCAGTGTGCCTATAAGTTTCTTGCTGACCAGACCACACGAAAAACTTGTACCCTAGTTTAGCACACCTGGTCTTATTTGCATAATTTATGTTCTTCAAAATTCCCTTAAGAACTTCTCTCACAAGAAACCCCGAGACCCTCATCTGCATTTCACTAAGAGCTGTTTTTGCGTCAAATCCCGGCCCATCTTGTTGTAAAACCTCAAGAATTCTCCTAGCATCCTCCCTTCCACTCTCAAAAAATTCTGGCCTCTTCGAAAAACAGCCCTCAAAGCCGTTTGCATACCCCCCACAATTATCGTGAGTTTCATCAAAAACAGAGTCAAAACTGGAACCCTTCCACATTCTCTTCAAAGGTTCCTCGGAATAATAAAAATCACTATCAATTTTATCACTATCAAAACTACTATCGCATAATTTTCTCGATAAAACGATAATACAACAAGATTTATAAACATTCCTTGTACCATATCGAGCAATAGAGTTCATTTTTAGTGCCAATTAAGCATTGGGGACTCCCCATTATCTTTGACTCTTAACAATAGCCAACAAAGCCAAGAAACCCACAAGCATATCGGGATATCCAAACACGAAAAGCGCAGAAAGCGCCGTGCCCTCGAGTTGAGAAATACCCATTAAGCTGAAAATACCCAGTTCAACTATAGCAGCATATTGGGACAGGATATGTTCATTGAACGTCGTGAAGAGAAGGAATTATGTCGATTAGGAACAGGGGACGGAAGAGCGAGGACTTACCTGGAATCAAGGTGATTGATAGTGAGACTGTAGGCTTTTCCGAGCCGGTTAAAATCTTGCCCCCAGGTTTTGCAGCGTTTGCTGGTGCAAGAGTAGAGCGGAGAAGTGAGAAGAAACTACTAAATGCGAGGAATTAAGCAGTGCAATCGGGGTTTTACTATGAAACGGCGCGTTTTTATGGCTGTCTGCCACTGAAGAATTACTATGTCATTGAAAGCGGAACCCTGCGTTTTTGCAAAGGAAAATCAATTAGTAATTAACTCCTGTTTCGTGGAAAATAATTTTTAAAACATTATTTTCATATTTTAAAATATTTATTTGATAAAAATTAATTAATTAATAAAAATAATTTGTTGGTGAATGAAATATAAGGTTATTTTTAAAAAATTATTTTACGAATTTAAAAAAAATTTTCAAAAAAGAATCATTTATAAGTAAAATTATTTATCAATAATTTTTAGCATAATTTTACTTATAAATAATATTGTATTAATATATAAATAACATTATATTAATAAATAATATATTAATAAAATTATCAATAAATAATATTATAATATATTAATAAAAATATTATATTAATAAATAATGTTATAACATATTAATAAATAATATAAAGAATAATAAATAATTTTATTTTAAGTATTTTTATATTAACATAATATTTTAATATTAAATATTATTATTAAAATATAATTTTTTTAATATTAATAATTTTAATAATAAATAATTTCAATATACTTTAATAATAAAAATTTTTAATATTTTAATAATTATATTAATATTATTTATAAAAAATAAAATTTCTAAAAAACAACCAAACAATGAAAAGCATTTTTTATTAACTAATTCAAATAATAAAAAATCTCTTTCAATTTAGAAAATATAAATATTTTTTAAAAATTATTTTTCGTGAAACAAACGAGCCTAAAAATTGATTTGTTATGTGCTCGGAGTTATGATACCAAGTTATGAAATTTTGGTATCATTCGATTATAATTAGATCTGCTCATGGGTTGGATTAGGTCTAACATGATATTTTAGCATTTTAAGCAAGTTCAGATATAATTTGACCTAATTTTTTAAGTCTTATTTTTTGCTCAAGCTCATTCTTACATATAACAATACAGTCCAAACATACTTAAAGCATTGGTATTTAAAATTGGAGAAAACATTTTTTAAATTTTTTTGTAAATTATTAATTTAACTAAGTTAATTAATTTTAATTAAATTTATAAGTTATTTAAGCTTTGGTCCAATTTAATTTTGTTGAATCAATTTAAAATTAGATCGTTGTTTTGTATAAAGAAGAAATAAGCTTTATCCTATTATAAGTAATAAAGCAAATGAGCTTTATTCTATTATAAAAAAATAAAACAAATAGATTTTATCCCGTTATGATAAAAATGTTTTTTTAATTTTCGGGTTGGGTCCAAGCTTGTAAATAGTGAAACCCAAGCCCTAACTCTATTTTTTGATTGGACATCATTTATTTGTCCAGACCCATTTAATAGATTTAATATTCATAGTCAAGTCTTTAATATTTTTAGGCGGGTTTTTAAATTCGAACAGGTCGCTCAGCCCATGAACAGGTCTAAGTATATTATAATTATTATTTTATAATATATAAATAAATATTTTAATTACATGTTCGAATATTTTTAAATAAAATTAATTTAAAATATTTAATTTTTATATATTAAATAACATTTATATATTTGTTATATATATTTAATAATAATGTTAAATGATAAATTTTACTGCTAACTTATTAATAACTTAATTATTCAATCTATTAAAAAAACATATTTATTCAATAAACATAAAAAAAAAACTATAAAAGCAGAAAAAAAAGGCTAAATACACATAAAACTTGATTATGGTTGACGTTTAATTTTATTACTCTTTAAACTTTTGAAACATATTAGTATTAGTATTGTTCTTAAAAGAAATATTGTCATTTTGAATTACTATAAAAAATATTCTTAAAGAGATCTGAAAATGACATGTGTTTTTTTTTTCCCTTTTATATTAAGTGCGTTTTATTGGTTGGTATTTTTGTTTCTTTTTTTGTTGTTTTATGTTTAACTCTGTTGGACAATGAAGCAATTTCTTTGACACTTGTTTTCTTTAGTGCTTATGTATTTGACAGGTGTAAGTTTTGTCTATTTTCAAAGCTTCTTTGTGTTATTTTTATTTGTGTTTGAAGCAGAGCTTTTATGGCATCCAAGACAACCTTTTGTTTTCTGTATTAGTTTTTCCTTTCGTTGAGTAAATGTTGTGGTGCAAATCCCACTCAAATCTCACATTTTTTTTTATTATTTTTTTTATTATTGAACAAATTTTTTTCAATGTTATGGTTTTTTTTTTGTCTTTAATTTGTGTAGAATATTTGTTATGAGGTTTACATGTTGGTTTTTTTTTTGTTTGAAATGTTTGTATAAAATATTTATTGAATGTTACATGAATGATAGTTGGATTGGAATTTTTAAAATTTGGTTTGTGTTGTTTGTTTAATTACGGTTGCATGTTTGGTTTTTGTATGATTGTTTTGTTTTGTGTTTTTTTTTTAACTTAAATCCACACGAGTTGTTTTGGTTTTTCTAGAACAAAAAAGTTAAAGAAACTAAACATGCAACTTAAATTCTCACGGTTATTGTTTTTGTGTTTGTTTAAGTTGAGTGAGATTTTATTTTGTTGGTTATGGATTTTGTTTTTATGTTTGAATTTGACGTTTTGGTCTTTTTGTTAAGAAGTGTATTACATTTGTGGATTCTCTTGCTATTTTTGAAAATTTTTGGTGTAATATTTCAATTTCTATTTTATTCATAGCCTTTTTGCAAATGAGATTCCTTGTCATACCTTTAATATTAGAGTGCTTACCCATAGTGTAACACTGATTTAAATGAAATGGGTCTAATCCTGAACTACCATCTGTGTGGAATAACTTAATCTTCTAGTGTTTTACTGGATTGCTTCAATATTTTACTAAATTGGATTCTACTGCTAGCACCTTTGTTTAAATGTTCCTTGGGAATATAGCTTATCTTGATTCATGTTGAAGATAGGTGATCTTGCTATCAAGTCATTAGTTGACACATTATGTTTGCTTTCATTAGCCTTCCCACAAGACTAGGGGCTTGCCATGGCAGCATGATTTGTTTAAAGATAGCCTTATAGCTACTGAGATATTAATAGTAGAAGTCGACACCAAGTTTTATGTATCCAACTTAGATCACAGAGTCTCGAACGAAGATATCAGGGTAAAGTGATACTTTTATTTATAACTTTAAATGTAAAGGAGTTTCTATTATTTTTTAGTGAAATACCTTGAAACTTTATGTACATCTCAAAAACTTGTCTTTGAAATAGGAGAACTGAAAAGAGATTTAGTTCATTATAATAAAAATGGTTAGTCAAGTGTAAGTTTTATGCTTTATATTTATTGTTTCTGATATTTTATTGCAATAATGGTTATTTTACCCTTTAATTTGGCTTAACAGGATTTGGCATCTAGCAATATTGTAAAGACTTAAATTTCTCTTTAAATTAATGATGAAAACATTAAAAAAAAAACTTGCACATTTGTATTGCATGAATTTTACAAATTAATTAATTAATTTATTTACTTGTCATTTTATTCGGTTTATGAATGTTGTGTTTTGCGTGATCTATTTAGGTGGAGGAGAGTAGATGTGTTTAAGGCCAAAACTATCCAAAGAATGGAGATTTTGGTATTCTCCACACTTTAATGGAAGATGAACCTGTAATCCCACTTTCATTTATTGATTACATTACAAGGAGGCTTGGATTAAAGAACCATCTTTATTAAAAATTTCTCAAGAAATGTGATTGCATTCTACTCTCTGTCATTACAGGTTAGCACTAAAACAAAAACCTCATTTCCTTTATTTATGAAATTATTAACTAGATTTGAATTAGATACCCTATGTAATCTATATAGAAAAAATAAGATTAATTCTATTGTTGTTTTTGTTTTACTCAAATTCTCATATATTTTCTTAGTTTCTGTTAAATTCATTGGCAAATCTAGGTTTATGTGTTACCTTCATTCTATGATGGCCATTGCTACAATGCTGCAAGTTGTGGACAGTGTAAAACCTAACCTTAGAGTGGCATACTAAAATAAGCTATTATGTATCATGGGGATTGATAATGTATTCTATTTCTCTAGCTTTTACCAATGTTAAATTTGCAAATTTCATTTTGGTTCTTAAATCTCAATTTATCTTTCGAACAAAACAATGTAGATGAACGATAATTCTATTTTTTTACAAAATTATCATGAACTTAATTAATTGTGAGACTTACTTAGTTAATTTTTGTTTGATTTTTAGCAAATTTATTTAATTATCCACCTAATTGTATTTAATTGTCTCATGTGAAAAAAAATTAGAAGATTAAAAAGATAAGGTGCAATTTGCTTGATTCCATATTGCATGTGCATCAAAAGAGTTGACCACACTTGTATGAAATGCATGGCACATCATATGGTATATCAATGGAACAAATAGACAAGGATGCTAAGTTGTTTTAATTGATATGTTGCATGGAAAGAAAATTAGGCTGCTTTGTGTCCATACAATTTAGCAAGCTGCCAAGAAAATTTTAAAAAGGAATACCAACTGTTTAGCCAAGCAAAGAAAAAAGTTAAAATGGTGGCATGTACCTTTCTTGATTGGAGCCCGAATGCCACCAGCTTGAAACACATTAAAACTTGACACTTTGTGGTTGACTTGAATTAAAAATGATGGTTTATTAGAGGAGTTTCAAGCTTGGACTAGAGCTTAAATGAGAACAAAATGAAAGCTAAACAAGCTGTAATTTGACTAAAAAGATTCGACAAAGAAAGAGAAAAATAAGAGCTGAACCTATATTAAAATTGGTTGATGAGGAGTTTGTAATTTTTTTTAAGTTGTAAAGTCATTGGTGATGTAGCATTTTTGCTAGTCCTTCCTTGATTTTATGCTTCCTTTGACAATTGATAGTGGAAAAAATTGGTTAAAAAAAAAAAACACAACACAAAAGAGAGAGCAAGAGGAACCAATTACAAGTCAAGCAATAAGTGGGAACACAATGAAAAATAAAAGTCAAGCATGGTTGCTATTTTGTATGGCTCAATAAATCATTTATGGGTTGAGAAAGACCTAGGATAAGGGTTGAGAAAGACCTAGGATAGGGCTTGAAAAATAGGACATTTGAGGGGCCAAAAAGGGAAAGCTGAACTTGATTGCTTGGAACATGATTTTTTTTTCTCACATTTTCCTACTTCATTATGAGTAGTGAGCAGCCTTCGTTGATTTCGCCATGATTTTTGAGAAATTATTGCATCTTATTTCTATATATTTAAGATGAGCTTGACTTATACTTAGGGAGGATGATTGTAGGAGGCTTGTTCAGTTTTTATTTTTCTTCTTAGTTTAGGTATTTTTCCCAAGGTTGTTGGTAGTACACTTGCTCACCAAACAGATCTTCATTGATAGAGCATTTTCTTCTTATTTCTAGTTTACTTTACATCACTTTTATTTGCCTTTTAAGTTATTCTTTAGTTTTTTTAATTTTTTTCCTTGCAAACATTGAAACTTTCTTGCATTTCTTTGTTATATTTTAAGTTCAGTTTACATTTGATGTTGCCAGTTTTTATTTTTAGATTTCAGTTTCTACAACACTTCTTGCATGTATTTGGAGCTCTTTGAAGCTTGAGAATGATGGTTTTGGATGTTAATTTGATGGAAACATCATATTGTTACATAAATTTAATCTTTATGTGTTTATTTACGAGCACTTTATATTTCGTGCTCTTTAATTTTTCTACCTAGTTTTTATGTTCTGCCTTTTAATTTTGTTGTTTTTTACATATTGTTTTTATGCTCCTATTATGTTATTAAATCATGTTTAAGTATTTATTGCATGGTTGATTAAATGCCTTAGACATAGGTTTGTTGTTTCATGCATTTTTCCTCCCATCCTTGATGCATTATTTCAAGTAGTTTTTCTTCACTTTGTGTGTGGTTTTTGATCTTACTATCTTGCATTTTTTTTTCATTTTTAAGTCTATTTTGAGGTTATAAAATAGTTTGTCACATTAAATGTAGCTAGGGTTAGTTTTGATTGCATTTAGCTCACTAAATCCATAGTTTAGGTTATGTTTTATGTTCCAACTTGTGTAATTTTTTTTTAAAGCATTTTTTGTCAGCTTAGGCAAAGCTTTCTTATACCTTTTTAGCTTGTTTTCATGTCTATTTAAACTAGTAAAACAATTTTTATAAATTCCTTAGATAGGGTTGCATTTTCCTACTATCTTAGTTCATAGGTCTTAGTTTCCATGCATTCTAGTATTTTGGTTTGCATAAATTTTTATTTCCATTTGTGCTTGGTTTTTGCATAAGATTCCTATAAGTTTTTTGTTCCATTTTAGGTTTTATTTTTATTTACATTTAATGCATTTTAGGTGATAATTAGTCACACAGATCATGTAGGAATTCCAGTTAATTCACTTACAAGTTTAATTTTCTACTTTCAAATTATTATACTTTCATGTTTAATGTCTTATATTAAGTATGTGTAATTATTTGTCATGCCTTGTTAATTTTTATGAAATTGTTTAAATTTTTTATTTTTAGAAACTTTATATTTTTAGCATGTTTTATTTTTGGCAGGTTTAATCTTTACGGTTTTTACTCTTTTCATAAATTGTAGTAATTTAGGTTTAATATATTTGATAATTTTATTTAGATTAATTTAGGTTAATTAGTTCACCAAAAAAAATTTCTTCAAATAAAAATTATTTAAAGTATCAAAATTGATATTTACTCTTAGGTCTAGAACTCTCAATGCCTGAAGAGATGATAATATGAAATATTTTTAATCTTTATTACTTTTGTGACTCGTACATTTACGATACTCCTGATGTGTAGCAACAAAGACTATTGTAAGTTGATAATAGAATTGGTAACAACAAGAGTTGAAGGCAACCAATCAAACAAGTGCAAGTTTAGCTCCATTCCAGGAAGCCCAAATGGCGTAATGGATGTGTCGTTTAGTTTTGATAACTCAAATCATTCATGGGCAGTAGCATCGTCTATGTCTTCCTCACCTGAGCCTCTATCCAAGAAGAGCAGAACTCAGCAAGACCAGCTCCTGGAAAGGCTAAGCCATGCTCCTTCAGACTTTCTCAGCATTCCTCGCTAAATTCCCTCTTCAATTCCTTTGCTTTTTTTTTTCCCTCTCCTAAACTATAAAATGTCTTTGTAATAATATTGATGTTCTTTTATATGATGCACAAGTTAAATCGCTTGTCATTTGCTTATCATCTCTACATTTTCCAACCAAAACCCAAATTGAGACTATCTTCAGTTTCTGATTCTTAATCGTCTCTTTAGGGTGATTGGTGAGGAAATTTGGTAGCAGAGATGGTTTGCATTTTATCCAAAGAAAGCAAACAAAAAAATATAAATAAATAAATATATATATATATATATGAATGTAGTAATATAGAGTCCTTACATAAATGCCTAAACTTTTTTGTTTTATGAAGATAATGTTAATTTCAGTAATTCACTATAAATTAAAAAAAAAGTCACATTTATAATATTTTAAGTCCAATTGATTGATAGACATACAAAGGTGTGTATTTATATGAATACATGTATAATATGAACATCCATTGGTTTCAATAACCCCATTCAGCTCTTATCTCCCAAAACCACTAGTGATCCATTATGTTTAACAATTAATATTTTTTATTCAACATTATAATTATCCAATAAAATATTAATTCAATACAATACAAAAAAAAAAAAAACATAAAACCGGGTAAAATCGGACTCCAATTACTAATATATGTAAATGCAGTCTCCTACAAAAAATACTACTACTCGTAGGTTCTCATTTTCATCACTTTTTTCCCTTTATTAAATTGATATATTACTTTCCTTTTTTGATTGTCGATTTTTTTTCTTTTAAGATCCATTGGGAAGCAATTAGCAACGATGAGGTGCAGTTATTATGGGAGTATGTGTTCACCGGAATTTTTTTCCCAAATGACCCATCAGTGTGTTTGTTCAAATGCTAGTCATCAACTGGCCATGTTTGGTCTAGTTGTTGACAAACCACAGATTTTTTTATTTTTTCTTTCCAATTTTCTTTTAAATTATATTGTGGAATCGAAAATGTCCTTATTATTTATTTTTTAATTTGATTTTTTATTTAAAAATCTTGAAATATTTTTTGTTAATTTAATATTATTATTTATTTATTATTATTAATAATTTTTATATAATAAATAAAATTTATAAATATTAAATAATTTAAAATTTTAATTATATACATATTTTAATTTAATGTATTTAATAGTCAATTTATTTTCTTATTATAACTTATCTCACCACTATTATTATTTTTGCATCCAAACACATTCAATCATTGATTTAAATCTTCCCACTACAACAATCAATCTCATATCCAACATTATTTTCAATTTTATCCAAACTAATTTTACCCCATTCAAATGCTTCCTCAATTATTCAATATGTTTGTGAACCAATAATTTTAATGCATTAATTGAAAATTTTCATGACTAATTTTAATATCAGCTAAGTTGAATTGGATTTCCTGACAATTAACCTTAAAAAAAAAAATCCAAAAGGAACCAAGTTTTATGTTCGACTAGTCTTTAAGTTAAACTTGGTTTAGCACTTAACTGGTTGAAAACTTAACTTGAAACCATGAAAGAAACATTAATTGGCGTGAGAGAAAGAAATTTCCTGCGTCTTTCATGCAGCCTCGTGCTGGAAAACTGTTAGTAGGATTTAGGAACAAATATCAATTCTACAGACTTCTAACTGAGAAATCGCTCTCCCCGACAAAAACAAAAAGGGGGCGATGTCCCGCACCAACTAGGCACATGTTTTTTTTTTGCTTGATTTCAATTTTCAGACTATATGCCAGCCATCCTTTCAAGTCCAACACGCAAACAAGACTCAAAACTTTAAAGAGCCAAATTAGGAGGGGAGAATACTACACAGGGATGATTCTCGTGAAATGTAGTAAAACCGTAAATATTGCTAATGAAAGCCCTGATTTCTTGATCAGAATTTCACTGGATAGTTATATATTCCACACTGGAAGCAGTCTAAGAAACAGTAGAGTGCACGCACATGAACCAGACGCCATAGGCCCATAGCTATAGTCTACACACATTGAATAATACCTGATTCACTTTTTGTAAACAAAAAACATGGTCCGTACAAGGGTAAAGGGAAACCCTCTCCATTGTAGTAGCCTTTTAATTGCTTAACGAATCAACTGCCCGACTCTTCTTCAAGTCTTCTCTCGACGGCAGAACATGAAAAACCTGCATTACCTGATACAGGGAGGAGAAGGAAAAAATAACAAATTAGCGAAATATATATATATATATATATATATATCTTGGGAAATATTAATAAACAGAGAAGTGAAGTATTAAGTGTAGGATACAGATGGTTACCGTATGATGAATCATATGCCTGTTGAATTTCTTGTGACTCCTCTCTTTTACCAAACCATGAACCAACAGCGCCTTTAAGTTTATCCACCACGCCCTTATTGGGACTATTCACGGCGCTTGAACCTGGCCTTTCGTCTCTCTCATCCCTTATGCCCAAACGCCTTGCCACCTCCTCTGACTCTGTGACCTTCCCCCTTGCCATGGTTTCCTTCTCAGGATTCTCATTTCGCTTATGCAAAGCATCCAAAATGACTTCTGATAGGGCCCTATCCCCCTCGCTAGGCCTCAATTTTTCCGCAATATAGCCCTTCATCGACACTCCCTTGTCCCGCTCTAGCGCCTCGGTTCCCACTTCGCTCGCAGTTCCAGTGCCAGGACCATGTAGTTTTGACTTAACGTTACCTCCCGCTTCCGTCACTTTCTCGCACACTGGGGTTAGTTTTTCTGTTACAATTGCAGCCATTTTCTTTCCATAGTCTATAGCTGATGCTTGCTTAGTTGCATCTTGACCTTCATGTGATTCATTTATGGTAGTCTGATCTTTTTCACCATATCCGAGCTTTGAAGCAATAATGTTCTTGGCTGACACTGCTTTGTCTGTGACAGCAGAGGTGGCAGATGAGATTTTCTCAGTGTAACTGCTCTGGTTTGATGGCTTGTCAGACGTGACGTTACGAGAATGCTCTTGAGGTTTTGAGGTATCCATGGTTTCTGAGAGTAGTGTGGGGTTTTCCGAGGTTTCGATGGGTAACGGGGTAGTTGGTTCGGGAGAGAATTGATCATGGCTTCCCGTGGGAAACGATAAATGTGACGCCCTGTGATGAGTTCCAGGAGGGAAGTTCTCCTCTCTTTCTGTATCCTGCTTATTATGGATATTCATTTTATCCAACGAATGAAGAATTGGGGTTATCCCTGTTGCTTCTCCACCTGTTACAATGTTAGCACAAAAAATATTTCAGTTCAAGTTCAACACAATTTGACAAATAGTATCTAGAATGTTACAGTTTAATTAAGACAATCTCTTCATGAATTCTCTGAATTATAATTTGAATGGACTTAGGGTCAATGCATAAGCAATAAACAATTCCATTTTAGCCTAGAATGGTTTAACCTTTTCCACTTGGGTCTGTGATTTTGGTCTGATAATTTGTAGTAGTATAAGCATTCGGAGTGTCCTTTGGAGCAGCAGGGTCCTCCTCCAGCCCTTTTGGTCTTTGCAGATTAACTTTTGGCTGCCTTGCATTTTCCTCTTGCCCATGAACAAAAGTTTTGGTAGGATTAGCATCTTTGCTCCGATGAGAACTAGACACAGGTGTGTTTGGCGGTGCTATAGGTTCTACAACAATAGCAGTTGTCTTTTCAAAGTTGACCCTCGGTTGTTCTGTCACTTGGACCTTCAGACCAGGAACAGATCTGTTCGTTGGATCACTGTCTTCTGTCTTGTAGTTTCCAGAATAAAAGGTTTCAGCACTTTCACTTGGCGGTAGAGGATCCGGGTCCATGGCCATTAACCTCTCGTATGTAATTCCAGGACGGCTCAACTCTTCCGATTGTCCAGAGACAACACTTTTAACAGCCGCAGACTCGTATACTTCAAGAATGACAAAAAAAAAAAAAAAGAAAACCCCACAAGTTAGACAAAATATAAAAATAATTAAACATACGGGGGAAGGGGGTGAAACTTGAAAGCAGTATTAGCCAGGCAGCAGACTTGGTGCCCCATGAACTTCTGGATCTTCAACAATTTCTTGTTCATCCTCGTCTTCGTCATCTAAATCATGATGTTCAGGGACGTGACCATCATGGTACTCATGATCATAATCATGGTCATGGTTGTGACCATAATCATGGTCTTGATTGTAACCATGCCCATGTTTTTTTATTGTGTCTTTTATCTTCTTTGCCTTTGCCTTGACCTTTTTCAAAACCGATTTCTTCTCGTGGTGATGCTCGTCTTCCCCGTCTCCTGGAAAAAAGGTCAAAAAGGTTAATACGCATTTTTATAAATTAGCAGAGAAATTTACTATATCCTTTGCTTCCCCAAACCGAAGGGATAAGGTTTAAAAGTTTTCTCACCATGTTGATGCCCAACAATGTTGGGGTCATGCTCCTGACTATAGCCACGAGGATAGGCGCTTTGAGTATCCATTTTCAAAAATCAATGGTTGACAGAGAGAATAAACCGCTTGGCCGTCGTTACCTTCAAATGAACAAATTACACAAAACAGAGGACAAATCTCGAAATTTTATAGTGTCATAACGCATGGTTTCGCCACCTTTGCATGGCGGTGGCGCTATAACTTTGGTACACGTGCAATATCACCTCCATTTCCTGCCACGTTGCTTTTGTTTGCTTGTACACGTGGCATTAAGTCCGTTGAATGCTATGGATAATCATCTTATCAGAAACATGCATGTTGAAACGACGAACTGCTTGGGCTCAGAAGTTAGAACCATGCTTTTTAGCTTATTTAAGGGGAGAAGGTCCCATAAGGAGTAAGTGTTTGATGTGGAAGGGAATACCCGCGTCCAAGACTATATCCAATAGCATCAATCAGTTCCTAATGGGTGCGTGTTGCTTTTGGATACGACGATTAGATTGCCTAATTGTGTCTTTCTCATTTCATATGCGTCAAATGTTGATACGTATACATTTAATTTATCTGATCACTCCCAAGATATTCATCATTATTGATGATTCGTATGACATTTTTTGTACTAGTATTTATATTTGGTTTCACGTTGATAATACTAGTTAAAACGCAAAAATGAGGAGCATATGTCATGTCAATTTATTTGCCTTTTTTTTTTTTTATGATAATTGCAGTATTATTCGTAAAACTTGAAATATCTAATCTTTTGACATTTCAATTTAACACTTTAACAAGTGGTGAGTGATTAATTAATGTCAACTGTATAAATGTAAACTATGGTGTTTATATGATTTTATAATTTCAAGACGTGGTACTTAGATGATTAATTTGAAATTACCTTTCACATGAAAAGAAAAAAAAGAATTTACGTAGGCGTAAATCTGTTACACTCCTAAATAGTAAGTTAACAATTTCTTGGTTTTTTTTTTTTTTTTTTCAATTCGAGAAAGTTGTCTGAGTTTAATTTTTGGTAATTGAAATTTAAGGTCTAATACTTTTGCTTTACTTAGATGTCCGATGAAATGTAATTTTTATCGTGTTATGACTCGATTCCACCAATCATTCGCGTCAATCATAGACCATTCAAATAAAATAATTATTAACAGATTATATAATTATTGACATAAGTTAAATAATTTCACGCTGTGTACTTCTGTAGCAGATGGCTTAGCAAATATTTTGAATATTCATTTTATTTCTTACCTATATGTATTTTTAATTAAGATACTGTTATATAAATCGAAAAATTAAGTACTAAATTTATATTACAAAATTATTTGATATGTTACTAAAAATTATGTATTGAATTATTTGATATTGTAAATGTGTAATTTTAGAAATGAATAATTTTGAATAAAATTTTTAAAAATGATTTAGTTCATATTAAAATTTTTAAAGTAAAATTGATTGAATATATTCTACATTAAAGTAGCATTTAGTATTATTTTTAAGATCATAATGATAATATAATTATCTACCAAGGTGATTTTATTATTCGTGATTTGAAATCACTTTATTTGATTAATAATAATTAATTTATATAAATTAAAGATCATTATACTTAGAATTGCTATAAATTAAATATTATTTATTTAAAAATACATATATAATCATATTTATTGTAATAATTACATAAGTTAATGATTTAAATATTATTTAAAGATAAGAATTCTTAAAACATAATAATATTTTATTTACTTTATAATCAATATTATTAAATTTATTTATCTATTTATTAAGTAAACTAGTTTTTATAATACAAATTGTGTAAAAAAAATTTTGAAGTAAAAAAACAAAATTAATCTTCTTTTTTATCGGCAAAGGAAATAACATAGATTAAGAGATATTATGGTACATAGTTAAGCCTGTAAGGTCAGCCACAATAAAAGGCTGTAAAAAGCTAGGATGAGCATCATGCATCACAAAATAAGGGTTTGTGCTATCAGCAGTATTATAAAAGTTACAAAAGTTCCCATTCCCTAGGATAGGCTCACTACCCTTTTTTGCTAAAGCATCAGCACATTTGTTGGCCTCATGAAAGATATAATTAACTTTCCTCTGCAGAAGTTGATTCAACAGTGTCTTGCAGTCAACAATAAGAAGGGCTAGAACATAATTAGAATGAGAGTTAGGGCCAGAAATGAGGCTAATGATAGGCATCCAACTCAATTTCAAGATAAGTGATATTCTTGAGGATGGCCAGTGCAAGACCTTCCATGAGAGCCTAGAGTTCGACTTCGACACTGGCAGCTCTACCAATGTGTTTTATTGAGCTAGCAAACCAGGATCCATTATGGTCCCTGATGATGGCGCTACCCCTTATTTTACCAGGATTACCAATGAAAGAGCCATCAGCATTCAGCTTGAACCATCATATGTTTGGTGGATTCCATTTGACGGTTGTAAAGGTGGGGAGATTGGTGACTAGGATCTTGTTGGAGATGCCAAAGAACTTGACGGCATGACTAACTTAACGTTGAACGATGGAGAGGATGGGCTGCACGTGTTTTAAGATGGCAAAGTTTCGTGCAAGCCAGACTTCCCAAATAAAGGAAATGAAGGCAGTATGGTAGGGGATACGATGGGCATGAAAAATTACTTTAGAAGTCATGTGAAGTTTGATCCATTCCGGGATAGGCAACATGAAGGTGTAAATAAGAGAGGAGGAAATCGAGAGATGCTGCCACAGACATTTAGTTATGGGGCAGAGAATAAGCAGGTGGGTGATGGTCTCCTTTCAGCTGGAATCAAAAGGACACGTGACCTCAAAAGTGATCCCTATTCTGGCAAGAACAGATTTGTTGGCAAAATTTGATGGGTGCATTCCTATATGAAGAAACGAAGCTTGGGTAAAATATTTTGTTACCAGATCTAACACCATTCTAGTAACTCTTGGTTAGGTTGCGGCTGGTCCTTTTCTAGTGCTATTTTGTAGGCACTTGAAAGGGAGAAGGAACCATCTCTTGTGAAGTTTTAGCAGAAATGATCATTTCCAGTGTGGCGGTGGGGGTAGGGGATACTAAGTAGAGTATCCAAGATATTATTAGGGATGGTAAAAGAGATATGGGGTGTGCCAGATCATTGAAATGAGAGTTGAAGGTCTTTAACCGTAAGGTTTTCTTCTCTGTGCTTCAAGGGGCCTGTAAGGAACGAGCGTAGGGGTCCCAATCCTGTCCAGTTGTCATTCCAAAAGTTAACACTTTCTCCATTTAGGAGCACCCACCTAATACTTTTTCCCAACAAACCTTGAGAACTTTTCATGATTTCCACGTAACGGAGGCTGCATGATTCTATTAAAAGAGCCATTGGTGCTGAGATATTTGGATCGCAAGAGCTTGACCCAGATGGATTCCGGTTACTGAGGAATCTCCAGCTTAGCTTTGTGAGTTGAGCAATGTTTTAAGGCTTGGTAAGTTGATACCCAGGTTTTGTAACAGTGCTATATTTAATCCTATGGAGTTTCCTAGTAGTTTTACATCCACCCCAAAGATAGTTTCTGTTGATATTGTCGAAGTTCTTGCAGATGCCATTTTGTGTCCAGTATGTCCACAATTAAAACAAAGAAGTCCTATGCCTTCATAGATATTGGCTTGTTTCTGGCCTTCAATGGTAATAGATTTTGGGAGTGGTTTCTCAAGATTAACCTATACACACAACCGAGCATATCTACCTCTTTCGTTGGTTAGGTTATGGTTATCAACATGCAGAAGAGTTCCAATTTTCCTTCCTATTTTCTTCAAGATCTCTTGATCGTAATATTCTATAGGAAGTTCAGGTAACCTTAACCAGACTGCAACGGAAGATAATGAAGCTTGCGATGCTCGAAAGTTTGGCTCCTAACGTCTATCCGCGAGGAAGCGAACATCCACGAACCATGGGCCTCCCTTAATTTAAAACAGTCTCGTAGTCTTCTGGTAGTTGAAATTTGAGATGAAATAGTCTCGTCCAACGTCAACCACGTAAAATTTTCCTTGTAGTTTCCACAACAAGTTAAGTTCGTGAAATAAGTATTGGCAGCCCACAGTCTTACCAAAGACTTTGACGATGAGGGTTTTAACCCAGTTTACCCTGATGCACTGCTTATTGCTCTTTATGAATGTGATGTTTATGTTGTTGGGGTCTTCTGGGATATCTTGATCCGCATCTTGACTATCATCATCTGATTCTTTCCACACCATCATTGTCGGGTTGATAGTATAACGGTGTGAGTGCCCCATAACTGGCTCCCAGTAGAGAGTCTTTGTATGATATTAATTTTTAGGCCGGTAAGGATGAGGTCTTACCATTGCTTTGGCTATTTTTAACCTTTTTATTACCACGATGAACTTTTTCTTTTTCTTCTTCAGTTGAAAGCGACGGGGGAAAGGAACGGAATCCATTGTTTGAATGAAACAACACTTTCTATTCAGTTTATAGTTAGGATTGTCTTGTTTAGGTTTTTAAAATTAATCTATTAAAATTATAGTAAAAAACAAAGACATTATATTTTATATAAAATATGATATAATCACAATATGTAAATAACTCCGTATCAACTACGACTAAGTAATTATCTACTTATTCAATTCAATATTTTTAAAATTTTTTTTTATTAAATAGCATTTAATATGAGTTAATAAACATATTGAAAAATTAAAATTATTAAAACTTTCATTTTTAATACATTATCAAACACTCACTAAGTATACGTGCATTAACTAATCATCTAAATCCAAAATCATTTAAGAATGGTTCAAATTAAAGTTTTATAAAATTTGTATTCTCCAAAACCTCACGCCCCAAAATGGTTCAAATTAAAATCAATCACAGGAGGCCTAGGCCGAAGACACCGCTGCCCAAATTTCCTTTTTTGGCAAACCTTTGCTTAAAATTTTCGTTTCACTGAAAAAAAAAAAAAAAAACAGAAAAAACAAAAATAAGGCAAGGATTCCTTGCCAAGGATGGAAACAATCGAGCGTGCCACTCACTCAAGCGGCGACCCTCCCGTTGGAATAAGATCAAATCTTTTAGGCGCCAACTTAAATTTCACGTCCGAAGGCCAAAACTCCTCTCACTGAGCTGAAA